TACATTCTCTAGTGTGACATTTCTTTCTACAAATACGCATTTAATTTGTTTCGAAATATTATATTCGAAAACAAAATTTAAACAATTAAAACGAAATTAATAATGTATCATTGTTTACAGAACTTTTCAGAGTAAGAAGAAACCTATAGATATTGAATATTCGCGCAATGTCAAAGGACATCTAGAGAACAGTGTTTTCCAGGAATGTTAGGGTGTTTTCTTATGATTATTTTCAGACTAAATAACCTAATGAAAAAAAATGTTTTGCAAAAATCAAGCTTAATGGTTTATCTTCTTTCATTAATGCAGATCTCGGTAGAATGAGTACAGAGAAGTGAGAACATGAACGTATCTCCTACAAACAACGTCTTGTCGTTGGGATGACAACAGGGAATTTCGCAGATAACATCATAAGTCATAAAAACAACATCCTGTCGTTGGATTGACAACAGAGAATTACGAAGAATACATGTTGCTTCAAAAAAACAACATCCTTTCCTTGGATTGACAACAGGGAATTACGAAGAATACATGTTGCTTCATAAAAACAACATCCTGTCGTTGGATTGACAACAGAGAATTACGAAGAATACATCTTGCTTCATAAAAACAACGTCCTGTCGTCTATAGTCATGTAAACATGATACAGCTTAACTTCATGAAGAACAACGCTCTGTCCTTTGACTGAATTTTCCAAGAAGTGAACAGAGTGCATCTTATTAAGTTATTAAAAGCTCTGACTTATCAGAATGAGTTTTCATGCTTTCATGAACAGAACTCCTCTCGATCCATTAAGAAATCGAGCTATCATTGTAACGAGTCTGGAATTTTAAGAAAGCACTTTTCTTCATAAAGAACATCGACCCTAGGAATGATTACATAGTCTTGTGAACAGAATACCTCTCACTACATAAAGAAAGCCGATCTATCATCAGAATGAGTAGAGCGTTGTGAGCAGAATACATCTTACTCCATCAAAAATAACCGACTCATCATTAGAATGGGTACAAAGCTGTGAACAGAATACAGCTGACTTCATACAGTAGTATAGAGCTTTGATGACAAACAGTCTTGTTCTATAAAAACAAAACATCGCCCAAATACCGGATTGAGTGCAGATATTAACGAAAATCAATCTTACTACATAAAAAAAAACATCACCCTAACATCATAGTGAGTGCAGAGATGTGAGGAAAATCAATCTCACTACATAACAAAACACCGCCTTAACATCATAGTGAGTGCAGAGTTTTGAGGAAAATCAATCTTACTACATAACAAAACACCGCCCTAACATCATAGTGAGTGCAGAGTTGTGAGGAAAATCAATCTTATTACATCACAACACACCGCCCTAACATCATAGTGAGTGCAGAGTTGTGAGGAAAATCAATCTTATTACATCACAACACACCGCCCTAACATCATAGTGAGTGCAGAGTTGTGTGGAAAATCAATCTTACTACATAACAAAACACCGCGCTAACATCATAGTGAGTGCAGAGTTGTGTGGAAAATCAATCTTACTGTATACAAACAAAAACACCGCCCTACCTTCGGAATGACTGCAGAGCTTTAAGCAGAATATATGAGTGCAGAGATGTGAGGAAAATCAATCTCACTACATAACAAAACACCGCCTTAACATCATAGTGAGTGCAGAGTTTTGAGGAAAATCAATCTTACTACATAACAAAACACCGCGCTAACATCATAGTGAGTGCAGAGTTGTGTGGAAAACAAATCTTACTGTATACAAACAAAAACACCGCCCTACCTTCGGAATGACTGCAGAGCTTTAAGCAGAATATATGAGTGCAGAGATGTGAGGAAAATCAATCTCACTACATAACAAAACACCGCCTTAACATCATAGTGAGTGCAGAGTTTTGAGGAAAATCAATCTTACTACATAACAAAACACCGCCCTCGCATCATAGTGAGTGCAGAGTTGTGAGTAAAATCAATCTTACTACATAACAAAACACCGCCCTCACATCATAGTGAGTGCAGAGTTGTGAGTAAAATCAATCTTACTACAAAACAAAACACCGCCCTTACATCATAGTGAGTGCACATAGTGAGTGCAGAGTTGTGAGGAAAATCAATCTTACTACAAAACAAAACCCCGCCCTTACATCATAGTGAGTGCAGAGTTGTGAGGAAAATCAATCTTACTACAAAACAAAACACCGCCCTTACATCATAGTGAGTGCACATAGTGAGTGCAGAGTTGTGAGGAAAATCAATCTTACTACAAAACAAAACCCCGCCCTTACATCATAGTGAGTGCAGAGTTGTGTGGAAAATCAATCTTACTACATAACAAAACACCGCGCTAACATCATAGTGAGTGCAGAGTTGTGAGGAAAATCAATCTTACTACATCACAAAACACCGCCCTAACTTCATAGTGAGTGCAGAGTTGTGAGTAAAATCAATCTTACTACAAAACAAAACACCGCCCTTACATCATAGTGAGTGCACATAGTGAGTGCAGAGTTGTGAGGAAAATCAATCTTACTACATCACAAAACGCCGCCCTAACATCATAGTGAGTGCAGAGTTGTGTGGAAAACAAATCTTACTGTATACAAACAAAAACACCGCCCTACCTTCGGAATGACTGCAGAGCTTTAAGCAGAATATATGAGTGCAGAGATGTGAGGAAAATCAATCTCACTACATAACAAAACACCGCCTTAACATCATAGTGAGTGCAGAGTTTTGAGGAAAATCAATCTTACTACATAACAGAACACCGCCCTAACATCATAGTGAGTGCAGAGTTGTGTGGAAAACCAATCTTACTGTATACAAACAAAAACACCGCCCTACCTTCGGAATGACTGCAGAGCTTTAAGCAGAATATATCCTACTACTAACTAAGGAACATCAACCTATCATTAGAACTAGCGAGGAGATCGAGGAGGAGACATCTTTTTTTTTTACAAAGAACACCGACCTATCAACAGAATGAGTTCGGAGGCAATAAGCGTTGGTGTGCCTACCACACGGTTTAGGTCCTGTGATACGATAGATAACGCGGTGGAAAATGAACCTCTCTTTAGATTCGATCTGACGAATTACTTCAATGTGTGTAGACTCCAAAGGGAAAGAAAAAGATTTAAGAATTTTGTCCGATCTGATGTTGTGAGTTTACTGGACATATTGCCAGTTATAGGGTGTTTATACAACCTGTGTGCCTTAACTGATATCTGTCTGAGATGCGATACGTGTTTTGAAGACGTGTCTTTCTACATACACTTGATTGCGGCGATTCTCAATGGTGTCCTATGTGGGCTTCTATTAATTCAGAACATAAAAGTTAAACTTCCGGCCTTGGTCCCCCTGTTTCCTGTTTCAATAATCTTCGCTGTGATATTATGGGATGGAGCTACTGTTTTTTCCGGAGATATGTATCCACACCATTGGCTACAGTTACTGTTTTTTGTTGCTATGGTTACGTTTTCAGGCCGAATTATCTTACCTCTGTCAGTTTGCTTGATTTTGCTGACTTGTTTCTTCCTACTACACGGGACTTATATCAATCAATATCCACAAAATCACCAGTTGACCACTCAGGTATGTTATATCTTTAAAAACCATACTATATACACTGTAACATGCAATAAATTTCAGATGTTTTATCAAAAGTATCTTCTAATTTATAAAGCATTTAGAGACGTGCCTCCATGTGTGTCGTGCAAGCGTGCATATGTGTATGTGTGCCAGAGACAGGGTATTTTGGTGAAATTACCTTCTGGTGATAGCGCGGATCTGATGCCGTTTTTGTAATGCTATCTCACTGAAATACCATGCCGAAGGCACCCAGCACAGTTTTCCGCCCGGTCACATTATACTGACAACGGGTAGACCAGTTGTTGCCATTATCCCAAATGCTGAACGTTAAGCAGGGAAAGATCATAATGTGTTTGGACAAAAAAATGTCGTATCAAGCAATACTCTATAAAATACCCTTTGTTACATGTTTAAACCGATCAATCAGGGGCCGTGTTCTAGAAACCGTTTTCATGCTTAAATTCACATTCTGTACGCAAACTCCATTTCTTATTTCGGTGATAAACTATCTATGTTTTATTGACGGGAATCCCAAAACTGTAACAATGACACTAGTCGGCTAAATATTTAATTACAGAATTCGAGAGATCATTCTAATTGGATTGACCAGTCTCTCAAAATATCGGTTGTCTAGGATGCGCTCGCCGAATTAGAATAAACGTTTTATCGTGTACTTTTTTCTTGTCATTAATGACATATGTGACTGAATGTATTTTTCAATGGTTAACGTTTGATTTTGATCTTTCTGTACATTTTTCCAAAGTTTCATAGCGGTTTTTTTGCTTGTTTTTATTTTACTATTAATTTTTCTCTTGTTTACTTTGATATATATCACACGTCATAAAAATCAAGGGATTAGCAAGACTCGAACGAAACTTCATTTAACACGGATATTTGGAAACAGTCATGTATTTGTATCCTGTATAACAAAATGAAATGACGTCTTAAAAATACTTAGCAATGCTTCTTCTTTCATTGAATCATTTCTGTTACATTACATTATGCAAGGGGCCGCGGTGGCCAAGTGGTTAAGGCGTCTGACATTCTGCTACCACTAGCCCTCCACCACTGGGTCGCGGGGTCGAGGCCTACGTGGGGCAGTCGCCAGGTACTGGCCGTCGGTCGGTGGTTTTTCTCCGGGAACTCCGGCTTTCCTCCACCACCACCACCTGGCACGTCCTTAAATGACCATGGCTGTTTATAGGACTTAAAACAAACAAACAAACAAACATTATGCATTACAATGACCTTAAATGATGTTTTTTTTCTAATTACAGATTTCCACGAGTGTGATAGTGTTTCTTTGTATTACTGTACATGGGTTCGCTGCTCACTATTCACTGGAAAATGAATACCTTATGAATTTTCTTGAGAACTTAAGATTCTCCAAGTATGAAAAAATCGTTTCTGAAGAACAAATGGTGAAGGTAAAACCGAGTTACTCCACTTTTTACAAGAACTGTTTTTTAAAGATCACGATACTAGTTAATACGTTGTTCTGTTATAGATAAAACTATTGCAATATAGCATGTTGGGGGTAGATCTAGCACATTTTAACGCATCGAAAATAAATAATGTTATGTTTATTTTTGCACATCTTCGTTGCTAAATAGTCAAGTAAAGTTAATTAGTTATGCTTATTTTATATATTCAGAAAATTTGATGCAACTATTTTCCACTTTCATTATAATGTACTATTTAATGAAAATAATTATGTTAATGTTCGCAGGATCGAATCATGAAAGCAGCGTTTCCGAAATACATTGCTGAGGAAATAACACGAGCGTTTGATGCAAACACAACCGGTCCATTTCGTAAGATGTTCATCACGAAAAGTGACAATGTAACGTAAGTTCTATTGTATCTTTATCAACAGGGTGATATATTTTTCAGGAAGATATAACATTATGTTACGTCAATATATAGTTCGTTACATAGCTATACCAGCCACGAAATCATACAGGTCTTGACATCTTACTAGCAGGAATATCTATGATAAATGATTGAAAATGATTTACGAAAACAAAATTTCCAATAACAGTTAAACCTCGATATAATGCCCCTCAATTTATCGCCAAACCCCTTTTTATCGCCAAAATGTCTCTGAATAAGTGTTGGCGATGTTAAATGTTTTATTTTTCTTCTTTAACAAAAAAAGAAAGGCTGAGCATTCCTTTTATAATAATTTTTTATTCAAGATGTTTGTTGAATATGATAGGTAAATAACATGTATTTACAATATTTCTTATTATATTCGAAACACGTAAAACAAATCACACTTTGCTCTGAATAACTTTTAACACGCTTTAACGAATACTAGTCGCGTTGTAGTCTGGTGGTTATCGTCGAGTGATCTGTATCAATGCTGTGTTTATGTATAACAACCTTATTTAAGCTCGCAAACGAAGCTGATTCATCAATTGATAACGAGGCTTTGGACTCATTCTGGTTTACAACCAACTGGTAATTTGTACCATTTACATTGAAATGCATTAGACTAAACGATGTTAATGGAGTTTTGATAGGTTTACTGGGCTCGGGTGTCCGCATTTCGTGATATAGAAACATTACGGGAATATGAGATGTCTTTATTTCCGCACCCTGACAGGTAGCACCAGTTTTCCACACTCCATTTGTAACTCGATACGTTTGACCAATACGACTTTTGAACACATCAATAGTCCTCATTCTTCTAGCGCCGACAGGAAGATGAGTTAATTGATAATTTAGATTGGAAAGTTAGGGTTTTCATTACATTAAATGAAATATGGGATCAAGTTCGTTTTCCCTACATTTTGAATTTGTGTTTAGAAAAGTAGGAAACTAATTATTTAATCAATGATTATTTTTTTTCGTTTATATATCTACACTTCATCATTTATCATAGGAACTCTTTCCTCAACTTAACCCAAATTAATTCTTCGATGATTAGATTTTGATTTCTCTAAATCGATAGTCCATTATTCGTAGTTTTTTTTATTTGATAAATTTTATATGTGAAAAGATACATTTTCCTCAAACTACATATTCGTGACTCTGAAAGGTGTTTAATATGTAAAAACTATATATTGCATACCGGAACATTTTCGCCTAATAAAACTTTCAACCTTCTCCTAAAAATTCAATTTTCGCCTTATAAATCTGTCAACCTTTTCCTATAAATTCAATTTTCGCGGAGTAAAACTTTCACCCTTCTCCTATGAATTCAATTTTCCACCAGTGTAAATTTCGCCCTTTACAGAAAATTACCTTGTATATTAAATTGTCCACCTGTATTCGCTATAATAATAAATCCGCCCTCGTCAGGGACGGCGAAAAAGTCGAAATTTAACTGCGGAGACAAATACCTGGAAAATAGTATTTCTGTTCTATTTTCCTTTGAAATTATGTGGTTTCTGAAGTTTGTGAAGACGTCTATAAAATAATCTTCGTAACAAGGCGGTTGATTAAGTTTGTGGATTATTAGCATATCCGAGGTTGGCGTAGCTTTAAAGCTGCAATATATTCTGGCACGGATTTCACAAAAATTGGTTAAGATATAGATTGTCTGTTTTAGCCAATAGCTGTTAACTTGTTCCGTGTTACATGATTTTGTAGGCACCTTGACCTTTTCGCTGTATTTTACATATGATTCAAAGCACTTGATAAATGTGATATGTTTAATTTTATGTTTAAGATGATACAATAACCTTTTATAATCCTAAAGGGCGTTTTATCTAGAAAACAATATATATATTTCTCTTCTTTTTCACAAGGAAATGATGATGATTATTTTTAACGTAATGAAAGGGTTTACTTATTGTTTTACGCAATAAGGTGACTGCCTCTGCTTGTTGACTATCAGCACCCGAAAATGGCTGTAGCCTTGTAGTTGGTTGGTACTTATTCCGTCATTGGTTTAGATATTAATTTATGTTGAATCCAAACATTGTTAGATTATAAAGGGATATATAGGCACTTTTCTTTTTCATTGTAGTATATACATTGTTTGGATCACAGAACATTCATCAGACATTAAGTACCTATAATAAGTAGTAAATGGACAAAATTGAAATATGATGCAGGCATTTTCAAAACTTCTTTTTAGCAATAAAACAATATTTTCAGAAAGGCACTTATACTCGTCGGTTTTCTAGAAATTGCTCTTTTAGCCTATCCTGTTATGGATGTCAAACAAACTGTCATTTTCTTGTCCAAATACCATTGCCAAGAAGTAAAATTTTGATGTTTGGGGCATGAGTAAATTTTCAAAAATATTTAGCTCTTTTGCATAATACTGTATACTTGGAAAGTTTCGCTCTGTCAAACTTTCTCCCTTAGCCAATGAAATCATTTTGCGCCAAGCGTTAATGTCGCCGTTCATATTTAATTCATATGTTTATATACTCTTTACTTTACCTACTATATACGCTGCAATTATAAATTCGCCCTTTTTATGACTCACACAACTAAATTATTTACTATATGTTATTACCAAACATTTTAGCTAATAACTTTAATATTTGAAGTTCAAAACTAGTGACAACTGTCTAGATTCATAAATACATACCTTGCAAAGGTTACAAAATGACTTTTTTGGTAGATTTAGTGGCATATCGGAGTGTCACAGCGCCAGGAAGTTGACAACCGGAAGTTTACAAGCAAAACAGGTGATCCAAAATAGAAACGCCTACAGGCATTTTGCCCCTGTGCAAATCCGCACACAGACATGGAAATGTATCAAAAGTATTTCATTTATCTAAAAAATCTGTCATCAGTTCCTTATTAAACTCCTTCAGTGGCCCAGTAGTTTGCCGGAACTTATTTAAGATAGGAACTACAAACGTATGAAACACTTGCTGATTGGCTGATTTAGTTGTGCGAGACCTTAAGCGGAAGGCGGAAAAGGCAAAAATAAAACTGCAGCGAAAATTTCCGAGGAGTCAGTATATTGTTTATTGATTTCTTTATATAAATATTATGATTACTTCTGTCTGGCGTTTAGATGAGATTGAAATAAAAAGCTGATATAAACTATTTTTTCCCTCAGCTTCATGACCTGTGATAAATCAAATCACTATACAAACCGGGATAACTTTCACGAATATTAAGTTCTCCTTCTGTAATTAATATGCTTGTCTCATATGAATTGCTACCTTGAAGTATGAACTTTGTATCCGGAAGGAAGTATTAAGCAATACTGAGCGAGGTTTTCATGTCCCTCGTTAATCCTTTCATGTCAATACAGAAGATAAATCTATCTGAACTCAAAATCAATACAAACTCTTAACAACAGAAATTGAATTGAAATCAAAGTAGATGGTACCATGAACTGCTCTCACGACCTATGATATAATGAACTGGATTTTGTTCCATTGAAGTTGAAGTATGTCAGTCCTGATTTAGGATATTCTTTAGACTTAATGCAAATTAATTTATATTTAACACACTACTCATTGTTTTTTTTAGCATTGTTTTTGCGGATATAGATGGATTCACATCGATTTCGTCCATCTACAGTGCTGAACGGCTTGTTAATATGCTAAACGAGATTTTCATCTCCTTTGACAAAATAGCAGACGTAAGTTTTGAATATTTTTTGCATATCAACCTAACCAAGTAGGATTTTATATATCACTCAAACAACTAAGTTGAACATGTCACTGAGTCACTCCTGACAGTAATGCTTTATCAGAAACTCATAAAAACTTTGTATATATTAATCAATTCATTAAATTGTACACCATGTAATTTACTTTTTGGTTTGCAATGTCAATAATGAAAGAGTCGTGGCCTATAGAGCTGATTGATAATTCGCCATTTCCGCAATTGTTTGTGAAAAGCACTTAACTTACTTTTGATTTATTTATTTATGCAAGGCCTTAAAATGTGTACCACAGAATTGATTAGTGTGTGTTACTCTCGACAACTATGTCTTTTTACATGTCACTCATGCAAATTACGTTTTTGTTTTTGTATACAAGACAACTGTATTTGTCGCACGAAATTGAAATGTGTATCTTGTATGTTTTAACACTTTCATCATGAAAATGACATCACTAGGTAAACGGACAATAATAATAATTACCTAAGTACGTGATGAAACACTGGCGGGGATTTACTAGAAGCCATTTTATTAGGTGTTTTTTGTTGTTTTCCTAACACAGATCTATGGGCTTTGTCAAATGTGATATAGCTTGTGAAATTTTGTTTTCTTGTGGATTCTATGAGGACATTAAACATCAACATTTGTTGTCTTAAAAGATGCATCTAAAAATGCTTGTACGTGTTGATATTTATATTTGTTCGGTAATACAAAATTAAGACCAACCCTTGAAAAACTGCTTTGAACATTAGTCAGTGTTTACAGGAGGCCATGTATTCCGTCTTTGCGTATTGCAGAGTTATCCTCTCTTGAGAGCAGGTATTGATTGTTGCGTCATTTGTTTTTGAGAGTAACGTCATCAATTTTTGAGAAAAACGACGTAATTTTCTCACACGAACCAATGACGTAACAATCAATTCCTGCTCTCAAGAAAAGATAACTCTGCAATACGCAAAGACGGAATATGGTATTGTATGCAATTAATACGTATTGTTTGACTCCTCCAACAGAAATATCACCAGCTGAGGCTGAAGATTCTGGGGGATTGTTACTACTGTATATGTGGGGTACCGGAGCCCCGAACAGACCACGCCCATCTATCTGTGTGTATGGGGTTTGGCATCATTAACGCTATAAAGTGAGTCTAAAGTCAACACCTATGCTAGGGTGTTATTGATATATTATGTGATGAAAATAACCACCTTTCATGTTATCAGACAATGCACGGCATATACATTAATCATAGAAGACTGCACGGCATATAAATTAATCATAGAAGATTTTGATTGAAGAAAATGTTAAGAACGTTTGCTTGAAATAATCGTAACCATATTTTTTGTCCATTGTCATATTTTATTGATATTTTAATTGTACTTCGGTATATGTATATAAACATGGCGACACCTTAAGTATCTCAGAACTGTCCGGATGTCAGAACAATAAACACGTGATCAAGAAACACTTATATCATCGAAATACCGCGGGCGGTGAGAGGATCACGTAAGCTTATTTAACACTAAGTCATGTACTTGTTCCCAATACAAATAACAAAATAGGCCAGAAACAAAATGCAGTAACCAAATTTTGTTTTGTTGCAATATAATTTTCGGCTTTTCGCCCTCTGGAATGAGGTGAATTTATCAGTACGGCGAACATTAGTCTACAATATATTTAACTGAAGTAGATAACGAAATACATTTATTTCAAAATACCTTACATACAAAAATGTTTGTCAGAAACCTTTAAAATTGAATTTACGATATAGTCAATCCATGTAAAGTACTATGATTAAAACTAAAGAAGTACTGATTTTGTATATATATCCCTCCTTCTCCATCGTCAGTTTTTTCGAATATGGATATTTGTAAATATGTTAGCAGAATAAGCATCTTTTAAATATGTATCGTGCAACAGCATCAAAATCCAAAGGAAATTGTAAATACTGTAATTCTCCTACTGATAATTCTTCAGGACAATTTCGACAAAAGTCAGCATGCGCGTAGGAATACACACTGGAAGTGTATTAAGTGGTGTCATCGGCCTTAGCCAATGGCAGTTCGATGTTCTTGGGCAAGATGTTAAGATAGCCAACCTAATGGAGAGCTCTGGAATAGCAGGGTAAGTATATATACGGTGATTGTATATGTTTAAAAATATATCAATGAATTAAATGTCATATCAGAAAACCTAACTAAGACATATCATAAAATGTATTATATCATAAATCATCATATGAGAAGAAATTAAGTATATAAGCAAACCTATGAAAGACATATAATAAAATTTATATATTATAATAATATCTACAGAGGATATGCTAAAATATAAAGCGTATATATATATATATATAGTAGATAATAAATAAATAAGTCCTTGCGAAGGAAAATATAGAATAAAAACATAAATTTTTCAGATCGTCCGCTAGGCCTTTCTGCCTTCTAGGTCTTCTTCAGGCGGATTGATGTTTATTTATCACCGTTGGTTACATGACGTCATCAATATTTGTATAGTCAACAATTTTAGTGACGTCATAAATAAACAAGCATAGTGACGTCACAAACATTACCAAGACAAAGAAAACATCTACATACAATACATTGCAAAAATAATTGTGCATTCAAGCTGGGTTTGAGGACTTTTATAAACATATTTTCTTTAATTTCTCTTGCAACTACATCGTCGCTATTCAGTTTGTAAATAGGTAACACATGAAAATCATATTTAGAACATTGATGCATATGTTTGCTAACTTTTAAAAATCTTAGTTCATTATCCTTCATGTGTTGTCTATGTACATTCATTCGTATTCTCAATTCACATCCAGTCTGTCCGATATAAAATTCACCACATTGTTTACATATTAAAGAGTAAATAACATTCTTAGAATAACAGTTAATTTCTGACCTAATTTCTAATTTGGAACCATTTGCAAAAACGTAGTCTTTACATTCAATGCTAATCTTACATGTACCACACCTTGGTTTCTTACAATTTTATTTACATCAGTGACAACATTTGTGGTATTCATATCAAATTTGGATGTACATAGTAAACGTTTCAAGTTTTTAGGTTGTCTTTTACAGTTTATAATCTTCTTCTTATCAAAAATACACTTCATATTCTCACTGTTTTTCATAAAATTTACAAAATGTTTAACGACAGGAAACATATAACATTTATTTGGATTGTAAGTAGTAACAAATGGTATGATATCAGCATCTTTGGTGTTAGCTCTTTCTAGATTAACACTGACAGGGCCTTTCTCTTTAGCTCTTTGTATGGCGTTTAGTACCACTTCAGCAGGATAACGTTTGCTTTTAAGATAAAGTTTCAAATCGTCCAATCTATCTTCTAATATTTTTTTATCGCTAACAACCGTGACTAATTTCGATGCTAAACCATATGGAATGTTAAGCTTAGTGTGTTTAGCATGATTTGAAAAGAAATCCAAATAATTGTGAGAATCTGTAGGTTTACAATATATATCGCTAACAATATTTTGTCCTTTAATTTCTACAAAAATATCCAAGAAAGGTATTCCTTTTTCACTTAACTCCATTGTGTAATTCAAATCGGGATGCAAGGCATTTAGCATATTGAAAAATTCCAGAAGATTCTCACCTGGAGGCCAAATAATAAAGCAATCATCTAGAAATCTCAAAAAGTTGTCTTTAAAATAATTTGCAAAAGTAACACTAAATGTGTTTTTAACATTTGTATAAAGTTTATCTTCTAAATACCCAAGGACAAGCGTCGCATAGGTAGGGGCCACCTTTGTTCCCATTGCAGTACCTTTACACTGTTGGTAAAAATTACCATTAAAACAAAACGTATTGTTTTCCAATACAATTTTTAATGCTTCAACAATGAATTGTTTATCAAATCTAGAATCTACTTTTCCAGGACATTTATTCAACCAATAGCTAATTGCCTCAATTCCCAAATTATGTGGAATATTTGTATACAAGCTTATTACACCAAAAGTTACAAGTTTACAATCCTCCTTAACTTGATTCGGCAAATGAGACAAAAAGTCTATATCATCACGTATAAAACTCTTTACCTCCGTACATAGAGGTTTCAGAAGCAAGTCTAAAAGATGACTTAAACGTTGAGTAACGCTTTCCGGACCACCAACTATAGGTCTGAATTTAAGATCGTTGGGAGATTTTAGGCAAATGTATTCAGCACCTTGCTCTTTGATAGCTTTTGAAATTAATTCACTTTTGTGTATCTTTGGAAGACCATAAAAATAACTTTACCGTCCAAAAAATTGAATGTTCAACCATGGAATAGGAAGTTTGTCAGCATTCCTTCGTTGTATTATTAGACTTATGGATCCCGAACATTTTCAATGTTTCTAGATTTTGAAGGAACCAAATAATGGCTGTTATAGGACAGTTATCTCAGCTAACCGTCAACGGCGCCATATTTGAAATAAGTATCAATCCGCCGACCATTTTGTCACTGCATATACGCTACATTATACGCCGTCTGATTATAGGGGGAAAACACAGCGCAGTGGACCTCAACAAGCTTTTTCCAATTATCGTTCTTTTAATGTTTACGACAGGAAAGTCCATATAACACATGTTACACGTGCGTTAATAAGCAACGACTACGTCATCACACCTAGCAAGGCCGGACAAAAGGTGGAATTCCTTAAACGTGCGGGTATACGTACGTTCTTCATTGCGCAGGCTACCAATCAACAGGTAAGTACAGGTGCTAAAGCTACTTAATCCTATCAGCAGGAACATATTGCTGTTTATGGTATTTTACGTCATTCAGCGATGCAAAAATATGTGTTTTTGGTTAAGGTCAATTTCTTTGTATTTTGTTTCTGAATTCGACATATGTTTTTGTCCTTGTATTGGCAGTGTGCTTGTATTGTTCTCGCCCTTTCTTTTCAATCTGTCGATTGAATCAATAATCGAACAGCGGTGATCTGTACATCAATAAATCCAGTGTATTATGGATGTGCAATGCGATTTAAATTATCAGGTTCCTTATAGTTTTGTCGTTTTAAGTCCTCATTTCAAATAAGCTGGAAACAATCGTTATTTTGGTCCATTTTCAGGTTTGCAGACAAAATAATAATTTAACATTTTTCTACACACTAGCAAGCAGAGGCAGCAGAAGATGAAGACATATCACAACCCGATACCGAAGAGCGTCTGCATGCAATACCCGATATGTATGATACCCCTTCGTAAGTAAAACATCCAATATCTTCTTGTTATATAAGTGAATCTACTGGGCCCGTATTCATGAAACTGTTCTTATGCCATAGCGTACATTCTGTGAATTTCTTGGTCCCGTTTTCATGAAACCATTCTCATGCTCAGGTTATGTGCTGAAAGCCAATGTCTTGATTCGGTGCTAAATTACTGATGTCACATTATGTCAATGATTTGTAAGAATATTCTAGATATTGAATACTGTTTTCAATGTTTTGACTTCACTTATTTTACCTATTTTCATGATTTATGCATGTTTCAAGAAAGGTGATTTGAGAGAACAGAGTCCACACTTAGCATTAGAACGGTTTTGTGAATACGGATCTCGTTTTGGTAAAATGTTATTAAATGATTAAATGGGAATTTTATTTAAATTCTGTCACTGATTATCACATTTTTTTTTTTTTTTTTTCATTATGTCATATTTATTATGATTAAACGAAAAGCATGAAAAAGAGAGAATTTATAAACAATGATAAAATACAGAATATAGTAGATCAATCGAAATATTATATATTGAATTGATTATACTTATATTAGGGTACGGTGCACTCCTTGAGGATTACTTTAACTAAAGTAGAGAAAGAGTTCCATGAATCGTAGGAATTTTATGGTTGGCAGAACACATACAGAAATAAAACAACATTGTCTTAATTGTTATAAGATTAAGCAGCACATCTACTAACACATATTTTTATCAAGGATACCCGTACTACTGCCAAACAATGTAACCACGCACTGAACACTGTTTTCCCGCCACAATAATAGCTTTGTTAATCATTAATGTAAATAAAACAATGCCTTGCGGGAGATGTATGAAAAATTATTATGTTGAATTAAAATTTAAAAAAAAAAAAAAAAAAGTGTTCGGAGTTTTAAAAAAGAACCTGGCTAGATCGGGTTAGGGCCATTTACTTAATATTGCTAACTGCCGAACATAACATTGGTCGAACATTGATTTTACTGTCATGGGGCGAATATTTGACTAGGCGAACGGTATATAGAATATGCATGTAACATCGGTTGCTTAACTTACTATAACATTTATATTTTTCCTATGCATTTTTTAACAGTGACGAAACGGACTGGTCTTCTGTTACTCTGAGATTCAGAAATACCGACATGGAAAATCTGTTTCGATCTCGCCGTCAATTCCTGCCCCTTCAGCCTTACTCTTATGTGTTTGCGCTAATGATCTTCTTCGTGAATAACTTTCCTTGTACGTTTATGTAAGTATAATGATTTTAAGAACAATACCACGTAACGAATGATTGCATACTGATTGGATTATTATATGCGTCCTCTGAGGTTAAAATTCCAATGGTAGACGCTAGAAGTGTTCCGATCCGTTAGTAATAACCTGTTAACATCGGTTGATGCTGTTGGATGTTTTGACGCAGTTTTAAGCCAACCCTTATTTGTGATGTCGAGGTTAAAAAGAGAGATATTGAAAAGGTACAATAAGACTTGAATCGATGTTAACGGAAAACGTCCTCTGAAGACTGCACTATGAGACCGCAGTACTGTAAACAGAAGGAAGTCATGTTTTAATTGATATTGTATCTATTTACATATTTACGTGTAATAAAATCTTAAGGTGCTGCAGTTGGTCAAAATCGTTGGAACATATTTCAACGCCACTGCAGCTACTACTTATATATACTACTGTAAAGCACATAATCCATTTAGTGTAAATGAATTTAACTATTAGTTCGTCATTATTTTTTGCATTGCATTGCAAAAGGATCATACTCTTTTTTTTTAAATCTGGAACTACTGCACTGAGCAGAACGACAATACTATGATTGCAATGCTTTGGATTGGTCCTATGATATTATATATAGTCAGTTGAGAACGCATTATTATATTTGAAGTGTTTTCTTCGAATGACAAATGTTATATATGATAAATAGAGTCTTACATTCGTATCCATGTCATATTGAATTTATTAACTCGTTCAATAAACTCAATATGACATATACACGCGCATATGAGAGCCTTTTTATGCTATAAGTAAACCTTTCACAAATTCTACCAACCCGAGAATTTATATTGACTGGAGGCCGACAGTATGTGAGCTAACACAAGCAGGTGGTTGATTCGTTAAGTGATGTTAGACGAGTTTTTTTTATTATCTTTGAATATGTGAAGCAAAACGAAACAGGTGGAGTGGGAGAAATATCAAAACTCTTTTGAAAAAGAAGAAAAGAAGAATACCTTAATTCAACTCTGGACTTTTCCTATTTCAGATGTTGGAAAAGTGTAGTTCCGGTGATTCTTGGATCAATCATTCTTTTATTTAACATTGCAACTATGACACAGGTAAGAGTGGTATTTTGATTTATCATGACAAAGCATGACAATGGTAAAAAAAAATATGAATATGCTTAACGGTGAATCCGATGCCCAGCTTGGAAATTCACGGGTTTCGCTCTCTTAGAATTAATTATGGCAAAATGATAATACTAATAAAAAGTCGAGGTTCTTTTATACTGCTTTATCACAACCTAGTACGGTGGTCGTCTCAAAGCGGTTCACAAAACATTATTCTTGGATATAGGGCCTTTTCAAACAGAAAATATCTTTCTCAACTCCCTGGGGAGCATACAGCCGGTGCTGCCATTTCGGCGCTCACAGCTAGCATTCAACAATTCTAGCACTGCCCAACCACGTACTCATTTACAGCTGAGTAGGCTGGAACAAGCGAAGTAAAGTATCTCTCTCAAAGAATCAACACAGTGCCGTTCCGTGACTCGAAACCACAACCCTTAGGTCACGAGCCTGGCCTCCTACCACTAGACTTTCGTGCCTCCAAAAGTTAAACATCAACTTCCGGATGCTACAAGTTGCTAAGCCTAGACTCTTTTAAAACTATCTTGAACGTGATCACTTGATGTTAGTGAAGTTCTTTTTTTAATCTTTACATGTGTGTCAGCCTAGCTATTGGTCATCCTTTTTGTGTCTGAACAAAGCAAGTTATTTATCGTAAGTCTTCGCTTTTGTGATGACACTTTCCAAGATGGCCTCAGACCTTGGATTTTAAAGACTATCATGGCTAGGATAAGACAGGTTTGCTTATTTGTTTGTTGTTTTATTAAGTTCTTAAATGCCATTTTCAAAAATTTAGATAATAATAATTTTCCACAATAATTCTGATTTACTGCAGGGGATGGACGGACTTACAGATAAAACGTTGGCCATACATTTGACTGAAAACATTTTTATATTTTTAACTGGTGTTGTTCTGCTTATCATCTGTGGAGACGCAGTGAGTTGTTTTTTAACCTTTTATATGCTACTATCACAGCGTATCATATCATAGAAATTATATTTAATATGATAATATATGATAGATATTTTTTGTGTTAAAAAAGAGATATTTGAAGTTACAATAATACCCATATCGGCGTTAACGTAGAAATATGATATACTATTATAAAAATAATATTTATATACACATAGTACACCTAACAAATGCGAATATATGTAACTTTATACGGCATATATCAAAACATTTTAGCAATAAAAACATCCTGTGCAAATGTTCACATATCATTTAGAACGATGTTATTTATCAATCCAACACAATTTTGTTGTTCAAGTAAATGGGATTGCTAGAGACGTATCAAAAGCTGCTAAACTTCGGTCAATTATATTCCAGGATGCATGGATACCGCACAGTGAACTGACATCTGTTGTCAATGGTACTGTTGGTCTACAGAGCAATTTGACATCATCGATGTCATTGGCCGTGTCAGATTATGTGATTTTGCAGTTTCTGCTGCTGATAATTGGGGTCAATGAGGCGTTGACATTAAGCCACGGTATCAAATGCGTCATCATGGTCCTCTTTGTCTTCAGCTTTCTCTCACTGCTAACATATCTACATCCTCACAACAGTTATTCACAGTAAGTAATTTGAACACAAAAAATGTTTGGCTTGTTTATGACTAATATTTCGTTTATGACACAAACGTTTGTATTCGTCAATGTGACACGTGAGATGTTTCTTTAAATTACATAACGAAACAAGTCTCAATAAAAGTCAAATTAGAACTGTATAATGATGCTGTAAATGTATTAATGTCAAAGAAACATATTTTTTTTTATTTTTTTACTTAAAATGGATACATGGCTTTAGCCCTAAAACAGATAAGAAAATGAAATATTAACTTTACAAGTTTACAAGTACCTTTTAGCGAATAACAAAATTCTAATATTTCTTGAGCCAGTTATAACACGAGAATATCAACAAATCCATAATTCGAACTTTTAATCAATGAAACAATGCCACAATAAGTGAAATATCTAAATGGGAACCCAGGTAAAAGGAGAATAGGACCAAGTGTTACGAAAGGTAAATCGTCCTCTAATTCATCGACGGTATCCGCCTTGTAAATCTAGGTCAAATGTATATAATGTAACGTCCTCATAACGAGAACCGGGATACTGACAAGATAGCAATAGGACTCACTAATGAGCATAATTATAATGCAATCAACTGCCATATCACACTAAAATAGGATATTTCCCAATGAGATAATGACGAAGTCAAAAAATATTGTCCATGGTCTGGAAACCCTGTTTTGTAATAAAAACCATTATATTCGGGGCAAGCTTTAAAATTCTAAATCAACAGCGACAAGTTAACACCGAGCATTGAGATAGACGGGATGATACCGTCAACAAAAATGAAAGTTTACAATCGTAAAATCCTTTGTGTACGGCTTTCTGATAAGCCAACCCCATTGGTCATGTCAGGTTTCAAGTTCAGGAGGGTATGTACAATCGACGTTGGCAACATAGATTAAATCAAACACAAACGTATCAAATAAATAATAAAGCAATGATTCAAAGATGCAGGGTGATGAATATTATGGACACGTTTAATTGTCATGGGGAAATATGTTATTTCTTTGTTTGATATGAACGTCGATGTTTTTGATATGGCGGGGTCATGTAGATGACGCAAAGGATGCTTATCCTTCTGGAACACCTGGTCTTATTCTCCGTGTATGTACTTTTTCAATAGTTTTATTGACTTTGAGTTCTAATCATGGTTTTGCTGACACTTCAATGTATTTAAGTTACATGTTTTTACATCACAGCTTGCATTATTTGATTTACTATAATTTAGTTAAATACAATTCCTAAAGTTTAATATTGACACACATTTTTCTGTTCACAGTACTGCTACAAATATGTTAATCCCCGCCATCACTGTCATAAGTCTATCTATTGTTATAGTACTAATGGAGAGAAAGGTGAGTAAAAGTTTCACGTCGTTTTATTCTATCTCTAACAGGGATATTTTTCTTCCATTAAATCCTGTAGCTAGGGGTACGTTTCCCATTATCAAATGAGTTCGATTTTAAAAATAAATCGGGTCCTTTTGTATCCCTTTATTTTAGAGAACTTAAACTACTATTTAGGTTTTAATTTCTGAGCTGTATTTCGCTGATACGTAAATAATTGCGAATCATGATGTTTTGTATAATTTCGTTACTAATATTTAATCGAGAGGCTTCTTCAGGTTATATTTGCATATCGCTTGATATTCGCAAAGATTTATTTGAACTGCCATATTTTTGTTGATACAAACGATTTTTTATCTTCATTTATTCATTTCATTATTATTCTTTATAAATTTACAGTTATCGTTCAGCATAGATACTAAGACAACAAGAACGTAGTCTTTATTTTTTAACATTTAGAAAATCGTTTTATTTTTAGATTGAAACTTTGAAGCGCAAGGTGTTTCTTCAGAGGAACAAAACAATACGAAACCATGCAAAGCTTCGGAAGCTGAGAAAGAAAAATAAGAAAATCCTCTACAACATAATTCTGCCGGATATCGCCAGGGATCTACTCTCCAAACACGATGAGACGGTTCGTAATACTATTTTCTCCAATAACCAGTTGACAGTGTACCGATCAATCGACAAAACAAGCATTTCTCCTGCAAATGGTACCGTATCTTGGTCAGATGATTTTGTCGACATTTTGAAAAAAAATGTTTCGATGCCCATTCCAAACGTCGTTGCGTTTGTTTATAATTTTGAATAAGATGTATTCAGTAATTCATACTTCGCATTTAAATGATATTATTTAGAGGATGCAATAGACCAAAGTTTAGAGCAACATTAATGTTTTGCCCATTTTACCTTTCATTTGAAAAAAGCAAATAGTGTCACCATAACGCTTGTTGAAATACGTATCTTCTGTGACAGTATTAGAATTGTGTACGAATTCGAAATGGAGAAATGAAGACTGTTATAATTGTTGTGCATTTTCCGATAAATTCTTAATGAAACACAACATTAATTGGCAAGCATAAGGTAACATATAGCCTTAACTCTAGCATAAAACACATGTATAATGTGTAGGCTATCATATAACCTTAACTCCTAACACAAACCAGAGAAAAAATGGGTAGATTAGAATTAATGTTATACAATTCATTACACATTATAACCGTTAATTTGTGTTAGTGTTAAGGTTATCTGAACGCTAACGCAAATCACAGGTATAATGTGCAAGGTATTGTACAACATTAATTCTAACAAAAACAAACCAGGTTTAAGTTGTAAGGTAACGTATAACCTTAAAGCTAACACAAATCACAGGTATAATGTGCAAGGTATTGTATAACATGAATTCTAACAAAAACAAACCAGGTTTATGTTTTAAGGTAACGTATAACCTTAAAGCTAACACAAATCAAAGGTATAATGTGAAAGGTAAAGTATTACCTTAACGCTTACACAAATCACAGGGATCATATAACCTAAACTATAATAAAAATCGCAGGTATAATGTAATAAGGTAAACTTTACTTCTTGGGGGAGAAGACGAATTCTATGATTTTCTCACTTTTGTCTAATCTTTGTATTTTGCAAAAAGAATATTTTTAAATAGCAAATATATTTTTTCACGGAAAGAATATGTCACGTTTTCGTTCATATAAACAATACAATTTACAAAAGTTCTGTCAATTAAAAATATTTTTAAACAATACAATTAAGGGATGAACGTAAGACAAAAGTGTAATTGCAACCTTTAAATTAGGTAACAGCTGTTTCAATAATTCTGCTTCACCTAATCTTGTTGTTGTTTTTTGTGTGACAGTATCTACATAGCACGACCCATGATGACGTTGGTGTTATGTTTGCTGCTTGTCCTCATTTTGACGAATTCTACACCGAAAATTGCAATTATGAAGATGGTCTTGGATGTCTGCGCTTCCTCAATGAAATAATATCGGACTACGATGAGGTAGGCAAAAGTAAAATCGTTACTATGTTTAGTTCCAGCCGATTGGCACAGTCTGGTATTTTAAACAATATACAGTTTAATTAGATTAAAAATATATTTCATCACAAAAAAAAAGAGTGGCATTACCACGACTTGATTCCTTACGATAGAGTATCTGCTAAAATACATAAATAGATACAACATCGTGGCCACATCCGAGGTAGTGTCTTTTTTATACAGAATCAGGGTTTGGCTGAAAAAGTAGTTTAACATGCATGTGTTTTATTCACGTCCATATATCAATATCACAATATTTAGATATTTCCTTAATTGTGGCATTGTTTCGTTGATTACATGTTCGAATTATGGATTTATTGATATTTAGGTATTATCATGTTATAATTGGCTCAAGATTTATGAACTCTTTACCGACCCAAGTAATCATTTGGCGTTTAAGCTCCATCTTTTAGCTTTATGTTTGTTCCAGTACTTAAAAAACAACAACATTGTCACGTCTACAAAATAAGATATATCTGCATATTTGTTTGTTTTGGTGAAATCGTGCGTCGATCTAAACATACTGCCTTTAAGTAGTACCTATATTTAACCTTCCACTAAACAAATCTTACAGTAACCGGTGAGGTTACTGCCAGTGGTATCCATAGCATTGTCTCCACATCAGAAAATGATTGACCACAACCTCAGACTCGTCGCAAAACCTTACAATTTTAAGCTTAGATTACTTAGTATCCAAAAAATGAAACACATTATACAAAATCCATGATCATTCCTTAGCTGCCGTACTCTAGACGACATTTCACTTACTTAAATGTCTGAGTGGAATGCATTCATACACAAACTCCTACAATTTATGCCATTGGTGGTTTTGTTTCTGTTTGTTTTTTAAAAAGAGGTTTTTGTCATCTTATTAAACTACCGACCACACAACTTTACATTACAATAAATCCATAGTTCTTGAACTATTGTGGGTATGCTTGCATTAAGATATATAAATCTAGAAAATCATTTTGACTCAATCAACGCAGGCATGACATTTATTTTTTAAGTTCCGCAACTTCGTATTGGGAACACGGCGTTATTTCTAACATAATCTTTTCGATATTCGCAGAGAAAAGCTACGTTTGTAGTTATGATATGATTACTTACTATCCAACTTACTATTGAAACAGTTAATAATACATGTGTATAAGAGGTTATGTGATCACACATGCAGTGATAGAGGTGGTATACATGTACAGAAACACACGTAATATAGCATACTCCTGTCAACATATGAACTGGACAATAAGGAAATGTGTCGAGGATAGTCATATAATGACGCTTTTCAACCTGTTATTGCATTATCAGGCAGTGAAATAAATAGAGGTTACACAACGAGTGGTTGTTCAATATGGTATTTATTTCACTCGAGTTAGTTAATTTTCAAAAGTTACAAAAGACACGAGCTTTAGCAAGTGTCTTTCTGTAACTTTTGAAAATTATCTAACGAGAGTGAAATAAATACGATACTCAACAATCACAAGTCCTGTGATCTGTGTCTACCACAATCTCAGTCGGAAACAGCTGGAGTGTTTCCAGATTTGAATAGCATACACACATTTTGTTGAAAAGGCTGGCGTAGTGATATGACCCACATGTAAAAAGTCACTCATTGATATTAAAAAATGACTTTTTATTTTTACAAATTTAACAATTTTCAAAATTAATGTTTCGGCAACAACTTCGCGAAAAAATAAAATAGAGGAACGACTTTAAATATTGAGAGTATGCAATATTGCATTAATTAATATAAATTAACCACGGACTATACAAATGATAAAGACAAACTAATCGCTGTCAATGTCCAAAACCATAGGCCTGGGACGTTTCTTCGTGAGGTTCTATCGTTGACGTTTATAGCGAGAGTTCCGCCGTAGACAGGCCCTCCAAATATTGATAACGGGACATGGGGAGAACAAAATATTTTCTGACACTGTTACAGATCTTGTTTGGGTTTCACAGAGACATATATATTACGTCTCTGGGTTTCACGACCTGGACACGCGACGGTATGGCGTCGAAACGATATCGAGCGTCTGTAGCAATTCTGCCTGAAACTAGCGATCAAATCTTCAAGCATCATCTTCTTTTGGTATTGCCTTAATAACCCCCTTTTCCCATCGCATAACCTTACGAAAGTCACCAGCAGTTGCCGGATGTTGACAGCAGACGACGTAAACAAAAACAGCATGCGGCAAAAAGCGCGGGGAAAAAGTCGTCCGGTCCAGGTTCATCTTCTCGACCAATCAAAACTACGGAAGGTCATATACCACGTGTGGTGTATAACTCATATTTATTCAACAGTCTGCATGTTTCAACAATGATCTGAGAGTGGAATAACACAGCGTATTGTGGTAGAATAATGTTTACGTCTATATGCGCTCATACTCATATTGTCCACTGGTATTTTGTGGTCCGACAATAAAGGCTTGCTGGTCACTTCCAGTATCTGTCAACAGCTATAACAGGGTCATTGACCACTTCTGCTGGGTGGTCAGTTACTGAATATGTACGGGCCAGATGTATTACGTTGATAACTGATACAGACCTCTTATTCATTAACTAAATTTTATTTTGTAAATAAGTGGATCATTGCCTGGCCTCTGCAGACCTACTTATCACCGCTATTATAACATGATAAAAATTTACATAGGTACCTTCCCACATTTTGTTGTATTTCTAGACATTTTGTAACACTTTGGACATAGACCTTTTGTTTTTACTTTATCGAGTTGTAATTGGCCGAAATGGCATTATGGTGCTTTAAATATATACTTTGACTTTTTTTATCGATTTGCTAAATCTATAAAAAGTGACTTTTTCGCCTCGTTTATCTACTCATTATTGTCTAGTACCTTTATTCCTATTTGTTATTCGTATTATGACTTTATTAAGACTTCTTTAGGCATATTTCCTTTCGTTGTATTTCTACATATGTTTGGGATCACTTTAGAACTGGAGCCCAATTCTTTTAGTATTGGCTACACTGATGAATGATTTATTTACCGCAATGGTATCATTGAGCAGTACAGGTTTACTTTGTTTGATTCAGTTATTACAGGAACCCGAATTTGCCAACCTGTGTAAGATAAAAACTATTGGTGCTACCTACATGGTTGCCAGTGGTCTGCAGAAACATATCGACGATATCTCCATGGAGGTAAGTTAACTTATTCCTTTAGTCCACATATAAGGTTAAGCTGTATACCAAGTTTAACTGTAGACTCATCAGGTTTAACTGTACGCTAACAAGGTTTACCTTGCGTTTAACGAGGTTGACTTTTACACTATGTGTAACTGTCGACAAACGAGGTTTAACTGTATACTTAAAAGTTTAAGGTTTACGGTTAATTTGAACACTACAGTTAAGTTATACTAAAAAGGTTTAACTGTATAATCACATGTTTAACTATAAACTCACGAGGTTTAACTGTAAACTTACAAGTTGAAAATGTATGGTTAATTTGAACACCACGTGTAAGTTATACTAACAAAGCGTAACTGTATAATAACAAGTTTAACTATAATCTAACGAGGTTTAACTGTATACTTATAAGTTGAAAGTTTACGTTTAATTTGAACACTACGTTATAGTTATACTTACAATGTTCAACTGTAAAATCGCAAGCTTAACTGTAAACTAACGAGGTTTAACTGTATACTTATAAGTTGAAAGTTTACGTTTAATTTGAACACTACGTTATAGTTATACTTACAATGTTCAACTGTAAAATCACAAGCTTAACTGTAAACTAACGAGGTTTAACTGTATACTTACAAGTTGAAAGTTTACGGTTAACTTGAACACTACGTTTAAGTTATACTAACAATGTTTAACTGTATAATCACAAGTTTAACTGTAAACTAACGAGGTTTAACTGTATACTTACAAGTTAAACTGTAAACTAACGACGTTTAACTGTAAACTAACGAAGTTTCACTGTAAACTAACGAAGTTTAACTGTAAACTAACGAAGTTTAACTGTATACTTGCAAGTTAAACTGTAAACTAACGAGGTTTAACGGTGTACACTAAAAACGTAGACAATGTAACATATGTAACGGTGTATGAAGTTTATCAGCATGTTCTGTTTGTGTACAGGAAAATGGAAGATGCAGACGACGGGAACACCTCGGAACACTTCTGCAATTTGCGTTAAAAATGATGGAAGTTATAGAGGATATTTCCAGGGAATCGTTTACCAACTTCCAGCTCAGAATAGGTAGGTGTCTGTACAGGTATTTGAAAATCTCCAATGTTGTTTATTTCACTAAATGCTCTGTGATGTTTGAAAAATGCTGGTGAAGACGAATAAATAAGCATCGTTCGGCAGTAAACGGTTCGGAAAATTAAGGCTCATATCAAAAGCTCAACCAAGCTTCTATGAAACCCCACCCGAAACATTTTTTTCAATCTCTGACTGCGTCTTTAAGAGAAATTCTACCAACAAAACAATAACCAAACAGTTAAATATCCCGTACCATAAACAAACAAAAAAAGGAACAATACATATGAATGTATTGACCATATAAATTATGTAGGAAAGTCCAGGATGCACTTATACAAACAAAATGTCTTTGGTATGATAGTCTAACAGATTGCATAGTTGGAACTCTTGTGGAACCAAAATGTGACAATCTTTCCCCTTGGTGACGGATTTAACTGGAGATTGTCGTAATGTCATCAAAATCTCATAAATGTCCTCAACAACTGAATGCACAAATGATAGCTGTTCAGTTATTCCTTCGATTTTCTTCTTCATCCCGGTCAAGATCTGGTCAATCCCAAGTAAGTACACAGCAGATAATAAATGAGCAAGTCCTTCCGAAGGAAAATATAGAATATAATAATAAATCTGTCACATCTACCGCTATATATTTCAAATATATAATGAATAAATTATGTATCACGTCAATGGCTTTAACAGACTATTCAACATACATTTACTTACAACACGCCTAACAAGGACGACTTACTACTAAGAACTTCCTATTGTGAGCTTTCGTTACTTACTATCATTCCTCCCCGGCATCCGCTGTCGGCATGTCGCATTTGGTTCGGCTTTCAAGGGCTTGCATCGACCATCGTGACTCCCATGATAAATGTATGTAAAAGACGTGGATTAATTATGTTGCCTTACAAGCGTCAGCTGTAGGGAATTTCCCTTTAGCTTAGCAGTAGAGCATCGGGCTGGAGAGCCAAGGGTCGCGGGTTCCAGCCCCAGCGACGGCACTGTCTTTATCTCTATTCCTCGTCCTATTACAAATTGGTGCCGTGACCAGGCCTATTACATGTAGACTGCTGATCGGAAAATTTGCAACGCTTGAGAAATGCAGATTATAGGAGACTATGGGCACGGTTTAAAGTCGTCTTTGTGATTTCACAATCTGATTAAAATCACATGTTACATGGTTTCGTTAACTTCGTACTACGCCTGAACATCTGAGTGTGCCGCGGTCAAGGTCACGTTCAGGTGACCTTTATATTTATAAATACTCATTAAATTTTGACCAATCAGAGACCCTCTTTCAAAAGGGCGCTCGGAGATGTAACAAATATGCCGGACATTGATGAGAATGATGCGAAAGTTCTGAAGTTATTTGAGACCGTCTGAAACCCGAACAGAATAAAAATCAAAGCTTTATTAGATAAGAAAGACTGTATGGTGGTGTTTCCTACGCAATTATTACCTAATGGGTACGTTTTCCTTGGCGTCGTAAAACGTCAGTTCCCGCCGCCATATTCGTTTTGGAAACTAATCTGTTCGATACCCCTCGCTATTTATTAATCAACCATGATATTCCGATTCGCTGGCAAACTTTTGCCAGCGCGCCTCTGATTGGTTCATCTAAAGGTCACTTGAACGTGACCCTGACCGCGGCACATTCGGATGTTCAGGCGGAGCCATGTAACAGATGATTTTAATCAGATTGTGTGATTTCAATGAAAAATATTTCCTGTTTAAATATATGCAGATCGATGTTTCTGATTATGTTTATATGCATACTTGCTCGTTGTGACTAACGCGTTTTTCGCTTTTAAAAAGTGAGGATAGTAATTCGAGGTTCGTATATACCGCTTTATCACAACCTGGTTTGTCGGTCATCTCAAAGCGCTTCACAAATTATCATTCGTAGTTATAGGGCCTTTGCAACCAGCTAAAATCGAAATCGTTCTCAACTCCCTGGGGAGCGTACAGCCGGTGCTGCCATTTCGGTGCTCACAGCAAGCACTCTTCAAGTCTAGCATTACCCAACCACGTACTCATTTACAGCTAAGTGGACTGAAACAATTGGAGTAAAGTATCTTGCTCAAAGATACAACACAGTGTCGTGCTGTGACTCGAACCCGCAACCCTTCGGTCACGAGCCCGGCGTCCTACCACTAGACTACCGTATTTCTTAGAAAGTGATATATTTTTGCATTTGACATAGAGTTGCATCGTTGTGTGTTGGTTTTTTTTGCTTTTTTTCATCGGTTTTCGTTCATAAAGCAGACGCTCTACCATTCCACAACCTCTGGTCTTATTCTCCTTGTATTTTCAAGGGTTTTCATTTCCTTTTAAAAATATGTTGCCTTAGTTTTATCAATTGTGAGCTAAAATAACTGGTTTCTTTACATAACAGTACTCTCCTGTTGCTTCTTCTATTCATAACCTACTGGGGAATGAAATCTTGGAGAAAAAATAATTTTCCTGGATTACAGTAAAAACGCATACAATAATTATGTTCCTTTGTCTTGTTCGACGAACGTAATTGTTTCTTGTTCTATACGCCAACTTCAGACGAAGGATATCTATTTTCGTATGGAATCTGAAAACGCTACAGGAAATCAAAGATTAATGGTATACCTTACATATCATCAATATAATGAGTCTTGGAGACTACTGAGTCCGTAATAACGAAAATGAAAGATCAAGACTGTTAATTAAAGAAAGAAAAAAAATGTCTAATACCAAATTATCCGTGTATTTATGGGAAGATAATGGCGAGGCTATGGTAGAGTATGAAGGACTATGGTAAGAGGAAGTGACTAGAACTCCGTTGGTCAAGCTATATACATTAGGTTGATGATATATTCACGAAAATTTGAAAATCAGATTTATTGTTAATTAAATATGTTTATAGGTACGAGAAATGTTGTGTATAATATCTACGGAACATCACTATGAATATGAGGGCATAAATATTTCTTTTTCAGATTTTGAATATCATGAAAATACAATTGCTTCAAAACTTAACTCAATCTATAATTAAGCTAACAAATATTGATAAAGCACGGTCCTGGTAAAGATGAGTCAGACAGAATCTTTAACAAGACAAATTTGATTTTGTTAATGACATGTTTCGTACATGCGTGCCTACAATACTATTACAAATTACTTCTATCAGGGACACACAATGAAAGGAAAGGAAAACCATGGTGATATTCAGCGACGTGACGTCGTTTGTAGATTGTAAATAGAAACTAAAAGTTTACATAAATCAGATAAATTTTGGTCATTAAGCAACAAGATGTACAAGATAAGAAGAGACTAAGAGACTACGGTTTATAGTTTGTGGAAATCAATGGTTACAACTAACAACTAGATATATCCCTATCTATATCACGCCCCCTCTCAAAATAAAATAACTGATATCTTTCACAACAAGAAATACATCGGGGTTGTAAAAAAGGGGAAATATGTACAAAAACATTTGCACGTGTTTTTTGTCATACGCTTCTAGGAAAGTGATTGGAAGAAACACACATGTGATTTCGCCAATATATTTTGGTAATAGATACACTACAGGAAACAAATAATGAATCACACTATACGTAAACAGCGTATTCCTACAATAAAATACGAAGCAAACACAATTTTGAAGTATTTCACTACAAAAGCATAATTCTTTCGTTTTTGACCTTCCAAAAACTCATCTTTGCTATTTTACTAAGCCAATATTATATATTTATTAATCAGACAAGCATAATAATTAAGTAATTTGCTAAGCAAACTTTATTCTTTATCATAAACTCAATTATTTCGCAGGCGAAAATCTGTAATATTTCCCATTGCATATAACATTATTGATTTTACATCAAGCAAACATAACTCCGGGCCACAGGTATAACTAAACATTATTCTAATATATTTTATTTGTGAAATTGAGTTCTTTAAGTAGTATTTAACCATGGTAGCATAACATAATTCTTCAGTATATTAAAACACAAGAATAAAGAAGATACAGCACAAGCATAGTTAACTCAAAATCGATAACAAATAAGATAAAAATAAAAGCAAAAGAAAGCAATTACATGATGATACCATATTTGCGTGGGGTGAAAATTTCGTGGTTTTCATATACTAGCCTGTTTCAAAGACATTATATTTCGCTGACTTCTTATTTTCCCCTATCAATATCATACCAAATTTATGTTTTCGTCGGGATCCACGAACTAAACGAAATTTAATGTCCCACGAAAAATGATGATTTTACAGTATAACAAGAGAAAACCGGAGCATTGACATCGAAAGTAGAAGGCACACTAATAAGCATAATTGAAAACATCGACCTTCATATCGCCCAAAGAAATAGCCTATTTCCCAGTGAAATAATATAATAATAATATACAAAATTTGATAAAGCGCTCTATCTAGCTAACATAAGCCACTCAAAAGCGTTTTACAGTACATAATTATGCAATCAATACAATAAGCATATACATTAATCAATACAATTTTGAGTATTTCGTAGGAGCTGCCTTATCAGGCGCTGACTACTAGTCATATGCCACCTGGCTTATATCTCCCTATGTGTGTGTATGTCTGTATGTGTGCTGGAGATGTTATATGTAATATGGCAAAAAATAATCCTGCCAATTTTTATCAAGCAACCTTTATCTATCGAAAATGTGCTGGAGAGACAGTCGAGGTCAGTAACATGAAGGCCTTTGTATAATCATATTTCTTGATGTTTTGGCTCTGAACATTCTAAATAATAGACATCAAATATTGAAAGTAAGGGTTTCCTATAGCATTTCTATGTATGTTGGCATAGTAGTCGCGAGAGGCGTTTCTATACAAAGCATCTGTCCGTCTCTGTGTATAATATTTCCATGCTGCACAGATACTTAATTAGTAACATCTCACGACATAACGGTAAGCATCAGATGTAAACCAAGTCGTCAATAGAAGTACTGCATTTAATAAACATCTTAAGTTCTGATGACTGTGTGACGTCATTTGTCAAGTAAAGTGTAGGATCAATACATATGCAGCTGGATGACGCGTATGCTACTCAAAGTGAAATTGAATTCTGTTTCATAATCAATATGTAACAGAGGTCATTATTTATTTCAATGTCGCAGCTAGGGGTCAAACCCGGGACCTCTGACTTACTAGTCTAACGCTCTATCGAATGAGCTAAAGAGAAATTCTCCCTAGCTGAGACGGTAGGAAGCGACCAGTACTTTATTAGGGTGACAAATAGAAAAAGAGAGCATGGAAGAACAATTTTTAAATCTATCAAGTCTTGCATCGACGGTACTATATGTAAAAAAGCATAACTTCGTGTCTTTTGTATTGATTATGGACTTAATGAGGCACGGCAGTCTAGTGGTACATTGTAGGACGCCGGGCGCGTGACCGAAGGGTTGCGTGTTCGAGTCACAGCACGGCCTGTGTTGTATCTTTGAGCAAGATTTTTTACTCCGTTTGTTCAAGTCTACTCAGCTGTAAATGAGTAGGTGGTTAGGCAGGGCTAGAATTGTTGTATGCTAGCTGTTAGCGCCGAAATGGCAGCTCCGGCTGTATGCTCCACAGGGAGAACTGATTATGAGCTGCTTTCTCTGTCGATATAGCCACAAATTATCATGAAGATCGATAAGTGCAGTTTGGACGTTAGGCTAAACAAATACAGGCCTGTGTTTGGTTTTCGCTTCGCTTTTCAAGCCTCGAATTTGGCAGCTAATCCCATTGACCATGCTCTGGCGTAATCTTCTACCTAATCCATTATTATTTAGTAGGAGTCCTTTGACGTTTTTGAACCTTCATGGAAATACTTTCCTGGCTGTTAATATATGAAACGTTTCCATCAAAACTATACCAAGCAGCAAAAAAGATAACATTATCGTTCCGCTCTTCTGTTACAGGTATAAACCATGGTCCAGTCAAAGCTGGCGTCATAGGAGCTCATAGGCCTCACTACGATATATTTGGTAACACTGTCAATGTGGCTAGTCGTATGGAGAGCACTGGCGTCATAGGGGAAATACAGGTACGTACAGTGGATAGGGTCACATACAGGTACGTACAAGTGGTAAATATACATACGGGTAGGTACAGACGTAACGAGACATACAGGTACGTACGCACAAGTGATAAGGACACATATAGGTACGTATAGGCGTAAAGAGACATACAGGTACGTACAAGTGGTAAATATACATACGGGTAGGTACAGACGTAACGAGACATACAGGTACGTACGCACAAGTGATAAGGACACATACAGGTAGGTATAGGCGTAAAGAGACATAAGGTTCGTACACGTGGTAATGAGACATACAGGTATGTACAGGTGATAAGGACACATACATGTACGTGCATGTGGTAATGAGACATACATGTATGTACAGGTGGTAATGAAATACACATGTACGTACATGTGGTTATGAGACATACAGGTACGTACAGGTGGTAATGAGACACACAGGTATGTACAGGTGGTAAAGAGAATTACAGGTATGTACAGGCGTAAAGAGACATACAGGTTCGTACAGGTGGTAAAGAGACATACAGATACTTACAAGTGATAAGGACATATACATGTACGTGCAGGTGGTAAAGAGACACACAGGTAGGTACAGGCTTAAAGAGATATACAGGTACGTATAGGTGGTAAAGAGAATTACAGGTAGGTACAGGCGTAAAGAGACATACATGTTCGTACAGGTGATAATGAGACATACAGGTATGTACAAGTGGTAATGAGACATACAGATATGTACAGGTGGTAATGAGACATACAGATACGTACAGGTAGTAATGAGACATACAGGTATGTACAAGTGGTAATGAGAAATACAGATACGTACAAGTGGTAATGAAACATACAGGTATGTTCGTACAGGTGATAATGAGACATACAGGTATGTACAAGTGGAAATGAGACATACAGATACGTACAAGTGGTAATGAGACATACAGGTACGTACAAGTGGTAATGAGACATACAGATACGTACAGGTGGTAATGAGACATATAGATACGTACAGGTGGTAATGAGACACACAGATATGCACAGGTGGTAAAGAGAATTACTGGTAGGTACAGTTGGTAATAAGACATACAGATACGTACAGGTGGTAATGAGACATCCAGGTACGTACATGTGGTAATGAGACATACAGATACGTACAAGTGGTAATGAGACATACAGGTATGTACAGGTGGTAATGAGACATACAGATACGTACAGGTAGTAATGAGACATACAGGTACGTACAAGTGGTAATGAGACATACAGATATGTACAGGTGGTAATGAGACATCCAGGTACGTACAGGTGGTAAAGAGAAATAAAGATACGTACAAGTGGTAATGAGACATACAGATACGTGCAAGTGGTAATGAGGCATCCAGGTACCTACAGGTGGTAAAGAGAAATACAGATACGTACAAGTGGTAATGAGACATACAGATAGGTACAGGTGGTAAAAAGACATACAGATACGTACAGGTGGGAAGGAGACATACAGATACGTACAGGTGGGAATGAGACATACAGATACGTACAGGTGGTAATGAGACAAACAGGAACGTACAGGTGGTAAAGAGAAATACAGATACGTACAGGAGGTAATGAGACATACAGGTACGTACAAGTGGTAATGAGACATCCAGGTACGTACAGGTGGTAATGAAACATACAGGTATGTACAGGTGGTAATGAGACATACAGATACGTACAGGTGGTAATGAAACATACAGGTACGTACAAGTGGTAATGAGACATCCAGGTACGTACAAGTGGTAATGAGGCATACAGATACGTACAGGTGGTAATGAGACATCCAGGTAGGTACAGGTGGTAAAGAGAAATACAGATACGTACAAGTGGTAATGAGACATACAGATACGTACAGGTGGTAAAGAGACATACAGATACGTACAAGTGGTAATGAGACATATAGGTACGTACAGGTGGTAATGAGTCATACAGCAAGGTACAGGTGGGAATGAGACATTTAGGTACGTACAAGTGGTAATGAGACATACAAGTAGGCACAGGTGGTAATGAGACATACAGATACGTACAAGTGGTAATGAGACATACAGGTATGTACAGGTGGTAAATAGATACGCGGGTATATACTGGTGATCAAGCAAAATACAGGTATTGACAGATGATACGGAGAAGTTAAAGTACGTACAGGTGGTTTGAGAAATACAGGTACATACAGGTACATGTGATAGGCACATACCGATACGTACAGTTGGTAAGAAGACATACAGGTACGTACAAGTGGTAATGAGACATACAGGTACGTACAGGTGGAAATGAGACATATAGATACGTACAGGTGGTAATGAGACATACAGGTACGTACAGGTGGTAATGAGACATATAGATACGTACAATTGGTAAGGAGAAATACAGATACGTACAGGTGGGAATGAGACATACAGATACGTACAGGTGGTAATGAGACAAACAGGTACGTACAGGTGGTAAAGAGAAATACAGATACGTACAAGTGGTAATGAAACATACAGGTATGAACAGGTGGTAATGAGACACACAGATACGTACAGGTGGTAATGAGACATCCAGGTACGTACAGGTGGTAAAGAGAAATAAAGATACGTACAAGTGGTAATGAGACATACAGATACGTGCAAGTGGTAATGAGGCATCCAGGTACCTACAGGTGGTAAAGAGAAATACAGATACGTACAAGTGGTAATGAGACCTACAGATACGTACAGGTGGTAAAGAGACATACAGATACGTACAAGTGGTAAGTGGTAATGAGACATATAGGTACGTACAGGTGGTAATGAGTCATACAGCAAGGTACAGGTGGGAATGAGACATATAGGTACGTACAAGTGGTAATGAGACATACAGGTACGTACAGGTGGTAATGAGACATACAGATACGTACAGGTGGTAATGATACATACAGGTACGTACAGGTGGTAATGAGACATACAGGTATGTACAGGTGGTAATGAGACATACAGGTACGTACAGGTGTTAATGAGACATACAGGTATGTACAAGTGGTAATGAGACATACAGGTACGTACAGGTGGTAATGAGACATACAGGTTCGTACAGGTGGTAATGAGACATACAGGTATGTACAGGTGGTAAATAGATACGCGGGTATATACTGGTGATCAAGCAAAATACAGGTATTGACAGATGATACGGAGAAGTTAAAGTACGTACAGGTGGTTTGAGAAATACAGGTACATACAGGTACATGTGATAGGCACATACCGATACGTACAGTTGGTAAGAAGACCATACAGGTACGTACAAGTGGTAATGAGACATACATGTACGTACAGGTGGTAATGAGACATACAGGTACGTACAGGTGGTAATGAGACATACAGGTATGTACAGGTGGTAATGAGACATACAGGTATGTACAGGTGGTAAGAGAAATACAGGTACGTACGTAAATAATAATAAATTATTATAATATATATTTGTAAAACTATTGTAAAGTGCTGTACAACACATGGATAATATGATTCATATAGTGACATTTATAAATATAGTAGATAAAAAGGCATGCAAATCAGCATTATGCATTAAGTAACAAGGCATTCATCTTAGTATGCATATAAATAAATAGTATAGGGTGGTGTGTACATGACGTAATGTCTGTGCAGGTTGTAAGGAGAAATGAAAGTACAGTCACGTACAGATGATAAGGAGAAATACTGATACGTTCAGGTGGTATGGGGAGAAATACATCTACGCAAGGTGTATATGCGACGAAATGCATGAGCGTTCATCAGGTGATCTAAAGGAAATACATGTGCGTTCATTTGATTAAGAAGTTATTTATGTGCGCAGAGTTGGTAAATTGGAAATTAGTTTTGTGCAGATGTTTTAGAGAAAATATATACATTGTATTTGTATAGGTGGTAGTCTAGATATAATTGTGCATCTTATCGTTTTAGGTACTGAAGTCGACAGCTCAAACTCTACAGAGGCTCGACTACAATTTCAAACTAAGGGGCTTGATAGACGTTAAAGGGAAAGGGAGACTCGCGACGTACTTTCTGTTAAGGACAGACAAATCAGTTTCGTCACCTCACGAGGAGCCGTCATTTCTATAATGGAGGTGTGTTCTGTGAGCGTTTATTGTCATCAACGGCGAAAGGGATGTGTCGGAGGTTTGAGTGGCTTGTAAACGGGTTTTATCTGGTTTGTGTTTTTCATTTTAACATGGCGTATTTATAAATATAGTGCCCTTTCGGTTAGAAAACACGATGTTTCACCAGGGCGAAATATTTTATTATCCCGAAATGGAACAAAAACACAACAGTGCAGGTGGTCTGGCTTTCGCGACATTGTTATTGTCATACCTCATTCACTCGGAACACATATGTGGTGCGTCTAGCCCAATTTTTCTAGAGATGCTCCGAATGAGAGAAATTTGGCAGGAGAAACTCGAGCGCGCTAGATTGAAACGAATTTATATTTCCCCGTAATGTGATCGATATAATCCAATTCGACCAACTTTAATAGAGATTAGGTAAATATAAATACAACTTTAAACATTGTCATTCAGCACTACGATAATGTTTCGGCATTTCCGCATTCAATTTTACGACGTATCAGTGCAATGGGCGTTATTCAGTCAGACTCGTTCGTATATTTTTATACACACACATGCTTGTGAAGTACGGACCACAGGCCACTTAATACTCCGAGTTACGACAGTGACGTCACTTTCGGCCAGTACTACTAACGAAATATTTGATGAATTGTCTGAACTGATGGGATTCAATCTTTAGGGAGGTTTCATTATTAAGTACGAAGTGACATCCGTCTGCTATATATAATGGTTAGGGTTTGCTTCCATATTTGGACTGTATGCAAATTTGTTGTGCCTTACACATTTCAATATTGGCAAAATGTCCCGGTTTCAAGAATATTGTCTTGTTGAATGTTACTTCTGCGTCACAGCAAACACGGTCCAAAACCGATGTAATGGAAGAATTTGTTTTTATCAAAAATCTTATAAGTAAGTTTTGACATTTTTCATCATCATTGTATTTCCTTAGTAATTTGAGGCCATATGTATATTTATTTCATCATGTATGTTTTATGGGAAAAGACGGATTGTAAGTTTTTAAACTTGTGTCTGATCCCATTTGTATATTTGCAAATAAAATATGTTTAAATCAAAATATTCAACCCTTACTTAGCGCAGAGATGTATAAAACCAGAAAAAAATACGATTTTGTCTCTCTATGATCGGGTTCAATAAATATTTTACTCTAATTTCCTACTTGTTCGTTTTGTTTGATGCGGGTCTTTTTTAGAAATTGCTAAGTCTAAATAAAAACAAACACACACAAAAAACGAAAAGAATTGAACAGTTTCCATGCACATGAGTCTGTGAACACGTATACTCGTAAAACGACAAAAGATTACCGTAGTGACAACAAAACGATAATTTTTCAGTTTCTTCAGGTTGGTAAGTATGAGTTGTAGAAAGGTTATACATCACAACCAGTAAGTGTTTTCGCTACAAGATAAAACTTGGGCAAAATATCTATAAAGGAAATATTTACATGGGGAATAAGACCAGGTATCCCGGAAGGGTAAGCGCCTTCTGTCTCATCGACGACACCCGCCATGCTGTAAGTTTGTCTGTCAGCAGCCGACGGCCATAACGGAAAGTCATATTACGAAGAATACCGAATCAACTGCGACATTTAAACATCGAAGGTAAAGGGAATCAGGGACAGTTCACGATTAGAGAATCGATAGCGTCCTGTTTATGGTACAGCTTAGCAGTAAGTCGTCCCTGTCGGTCATGTTGTATGTAAATATCGAGGACAGAAGCTGAATTAGAAGATTATGTAGTGTTCTGGATTTCATTTGGGTTTGTTTGTGTTTTACATCCTATTAACAGCTATGGTCATTGAAAGACGTGCCAGGTTTTAGTGGTGGAAGAAGAATAGAGTTCCCGTATAAAAACATCTATCTACGGCCAGTACCTGGCGACTGGCCCACGTAAGCCTCGAACCCGCTATCCGGTGGTGGAGGGCTAGTGGTAGCAGTCAGACGCCTTAACCACTTGGCCACCGCGTCCCCTTGATTTCAAGCCCAGGAGGGTACATTCAATATATATGTTTACTAAATTTCTTGTTTTTAAAAGACAGCACATCGACGATAAATCTGAATGTGAACTTGAAGGAACTGGATAGGTTTATGTTACTAGTCCTGATAAGCTGAACAAGGAATTCTGCTTCATATGAAAACAAACAAAAAAAAAAAATCGGCCAGGAGAAGGGAGCTCTTTGTTCCTGTAAACATGCATATCGTCCGCTGAAAAATCTTGGCCTCGAACTCAACTCATATTGTCAAACAGGAACTAAATCATTCTCACAATATCGTCCTCAGTATATTTCAATTGACTGACTTTTTTGCGGTGCTTTTCACAAAATAAGCTCCAAAATAATTTACACACATCTATTTACATCGCCGTTGGCCATTCTTGGAAAAGAAGTAAGCACCGTAAGCAAAGGAATGGTCCCTTTAGTTTGGTATGAGGCATGGTAGTGTAATGGTCGAAAAATCGAAAGAAACAGGAGGCATATTTTAGAAGTGGATGTTCAAGAGTAATCAAAAGGTCTTAGCCTTTGAACTCTTCAAAATCGATATTTTATGTTTCCTTCCACTTGCACGTATGCAGGCAATGTGACAGTGTTTGCAGACAAACATACACAACTACATACCAGTCATGCAGATCGTTAATGTTTGTTTTTGTTTAACGCAGTGGCGGATCCAGAGGGTTCTTTTGGGCTTCAGGAAACCCCCCACCCTGAGAATTTTCTTTACAAATCATATATTTTCACCATTTTCCTCAATTTATTCCAACATGGAAACCCCCCAGGAAATT